ATCTCGAGTTCTGTAAAAGATATCAGGCATTTGACAACTAACAAATCATTCATCATAATATCACAACTATTTTATCTGTTGACAAAACTTTGATATCTCCCACATGAATCAAAATAATTGATCTCAAAGTTGACGGTTTGGTCGGGCTTCTGATATTAGAGGTACATTATGACAGTTTTTTTTGTTTTTAAAAATTATTTTTAGAACTATTTAATTATCTTTCAACTCTTTATCAAAGTTCATTCCTTTTTCTGGAGACCTAAATTGAAAATTTTAAAATTTAAAAAAAGTAGATTCAATCCTTGGATATTTATCAGAAATTTTCATTCAAACTGATTTTGGTTTTTAAAATCAGTTTCGAAAGTTTGGTCAAATCGTCAATTTTGAGCTCAATTATCTCGGTTCCCACGAGAGATTTCAAAAATCTGTCAACAGATGAAATATTGGAGATATTATGATAAATAATTTATCAGTTGACACATTTTTGATATTTTTCACAGGAATAAGGATAATTAGGCTCCAAATTGACGGTTTCGGTGGGCTACTATGAAAACATTGTATTTCTATTTAGATTTGAATATCGAATAAAGATACTACATAATACAAAATTTTGCTACATTTAAAACTATTCACCATCATGAAAACACTTCAGAACTAGAGGTGAACAAGTTTTTCAGCGAAAGTGAGTCTCGAGTAGATTTTTGGATAATCTGGTGCTGATGAACAGTAGAATTTGAGGGGTCGACATAGAAAACAAAACGAATAATTCAAAAGAGAAGGGAATCGTATTTCTCTGCCAGCTTTCAATAGTTTAGTTTAAGAGTAACAAAAAGTGAAAGAATGATACGAAGCGATGCCTATGCAAAGGTGTCAAATGACCGAACGGCCGGCCTCCGACGTTTCTCCCAGACTCAAAAACATTGTGTGTTGTGAGAAAGGGAGGAGTTCCCCCAGATCGATTAGGACAAAAAACACGGGAGACACTTTATTTTCTTTCTTTTCTCGAATTTGGAGGTGTGGTTCGTGGTCGGAAGAGCAGTGCGCACTTGCTCCGGGGCGCGAGAGCAAACATACTGGACACTGCTTGAGCAGAGGAAGAAGAAAAAGAAGAAGAAGAGACAGACTGTGCAAGGATTATGATATAGAACGTAACAGAAAAACGAGCACCATTCGGGAAGAAGATGGTCGTTATAAGGTTGATGAAGAAGCAGGTAAAGGAAGTGGCCGGAAAGAGAGACAATAGACAGAGGAAGGAGGGGATAAGAGAAATAACAGGTGTGGGATAGTATGGAATTTGAAAAAGGATGAAGATGATGAGAGGGTATAATTAGACGGCACAGGTTGTAAAAGAAAGACTGTATGAACTGCATAAGGATTATTAGAAACAAATATCTTGAAGCATACCGTATAACCTGATAAATAGGCCCCCATACTGTCAGCTGAGAGACAATTTATTTCGGTTTCTATAAAAGATATCCACAATACACCGACTGATAAAATTTTTTTGATATTATGATACACCGTCTTTCAGTTTACAACTTTTTATATCTTTGATAAGATCCGAGATCAAATGGCTCAAAGTTCGAAGTTAGGGGCTCTTTTATTAAAGATTTTGCGGTAACCATGAGGCCCTGATCTAAAGCAATGGCCAGCTTGAACATTTAAAAGCTCCAAAAAGTACAAAAATCTAAAGAATATTTGCAAAGTCAAGGAAAAGCCATGGCAAGCGCTCATAACACTCCAATCTCTCTATTGATCCTTTTTCGAACATTTGCGCTCTCAAAAGTGTGTTAAGATAAAGCAAATAGAATCATGTTTTAGGGAGAGAAAATCAAGTCGAAAACATCTGAGAATTTGAAAACGGCTGGCGGTGTTGAAAAGTAAAAGTATGTTAACGATTCTTTGTCTTTCAGTTTGTAGCCCAAGCGAAACTAAACGATATAGGGTTTAACCTATTTAGTGATTATCGATAATAAAAGGAAATTAGTGAAATTTATTTAAAAATATCATTCACGATTAATGTAAGTTTGGAAATTGTGGGACAGAATGAAGTTTCTGAAAAAAGATACCGTAAAGCCTGTAATAGAAGGACTGCCCCACTGTCAAGTTTGATCTAATTTCTCTCCATTCCTATTCAAGATATCGAAAATGTGTTCACTGATAAAATGTTAAGCATAATTTCCTTAACATGTTGTCAGTTGACGTTTTTGATAACTCGTGTAGGAAGTGAGATAATTAAGCTCAAACTTAACAGTGTGGGGCCCCTCTAATACAGGTGTTACGGTAATTCTATAACTCAACTTTCTGAAATTTTCGGAGCGTTTCATTTGGAAAGCTGATTCTTCACAAATGAGGACTACAATTTTCGAGTGAGTTCAGTGAGTATGCTTCTTCAAAAATTCCATATTTTCAAAATTGTATCAGAAATTATGTTTTGTATGTTTTGCATATTGTTTTTTTTTCGTAAATTGTATATTTTCAAAATTGTACAATATCTATGAAATGTTAAAACTTGCCCTCAGTCTAATCAGACTATTTTTTTCAAATAGTCAGACATCACACCTTTATCCGATCTTTCCACCACTTCCTTCTTTTGTTGATTTACACCTTTTTTAGTTTCATTTTACGACTTCGCCCACCAGACCTTCCCCAATAACTATAAACTTCCCCTTTCCCCAATTTCTACATTCTTCAAATTCCGAACACTCACCGAAAACTGTTGATCTTTGTCTTCATTAGTTACTCTTGCCATACTGATATCACACATTTTCGTTGTACTTCGCCGTCGAAGAAGTGCTCCACGACGTCGGATTCGGGAAGACATCCCGTCTGATAAATGGGATGAATTGTGAGTGAGGAAGAAGAAAAAGAAGAAGATGGATAAGGAGAAGAAGACTGAAAAAGGAATTGAAAGAGACTAAACATGAATTATTGAAAAAGGGTTCGGAAGACCAAGTGGTACCAAGTTAGAAGCCATTATTTTGGAATGAGATGAGATGGACGGGCTGCAAAACGAGAAGACGTCAAAGGATGTAGATGGCAAAATGTCTTTTTGGATGTAGAACATTGTGTTATGATTTTAAAATTGCCGTGAAACCAGTAATAGAAGGGCACTCTTACTTTTCATTTTGAGCCAATTTATTTGGGTTCCGGTCAAAGATATGAAAAAGTTGTCAACTGATATATTGTTTATCATGATATCAAAAACATTTTATCAGTTGACACATTTTTGATATCTCTTATAAGGACTGAGATAATTGAGGTTAAAGTTGACGGTGGCCCTTCTGTTACAGTGTTCTTTAAACAATCAAAATTTTATCGTTTCTATTGTGAAAATGGGAAAAGGAAAAAGGAAAATGGATCAATTTTTCGAATGCAAAAAATCATATGCTACAAGACTCTAGGAGAAATGAAATTATAGGGTGCAAGACATAAACTTTAACATGAAGCCATAAACATTTTCATATTGAAAATTCCAAATAATAAATTTTTGATGGCATAGTCCAGATACAGTAGTCTTGCAACATCAGTCTTATTCAGGCCCAGAATGAGAAACTAACAAAAATTTTGAAAAAGAATATAGATGAGAATCATGGCAAAATACATGGGAACGGTATGTAAATTCCCATACCAACCGCCTTCGTGGCAAAAGCGGAATCGATGTCATATGAGATGATAATGAAGAGAATGTTCACATAGCCATTCTCATATACTTATTTCGAGAAGCCTTTTATCAAAGAGAGAAAACGAACGACCGAACGAAGAAATAGCCGCTGGGGGCGATTTAATTAGACTCTGCCCTTCTCTCTTTTTCTCTAGTCGCCTGGTTTTATCTGTTCTGTAAGAGGAAATGAAAGTGGAAAATAGGCGACGTTTCGGGGCTCTTTTCCGGAAGAATAAGACGATGCGGAATGAAGCGGATAAAATGAAAGAAGACGAGTTACAACCCGTTGTTTTGATGCAAAACGACTAGAAGGACCACTGGACGCAGCGGCCACTCGTATCATGTTTCAATATGGGAGAGCATATTACGAGCTGCCAATGCGACGACACATGTGGTTTATGATGATGATGATATGTTCTTTGGAAAGAGAGAGTGACCATCTGATTCTTTGATTTTGTTCCGATTTGTTTTGAAATGACATTTTGGTGAAAAGGTGTGAAGTTCTAGGAAGTCGATTGTACTGAAAGTTTTTGATATAGTTTAATGATGATCTGTCTCAAGGTTACTGTCTGTCTCAAGATTACTGTAACTTTGATATTGAAAACATTAAGATGCTTGA